TCTTCATCGGGTCATCATCAGTGTTAGTATTTAAAATCTATACATCATAGTTGTGTAAACCATATATATTAAAATATCACATGCTCGATAATAATGTAACACAGAATATTCATGTTAAGAAAAAATATTTTACAATACTTTGTGTAAAATCTATTTCAGAAAGTTTTTTACCTATAACCAATTATATGTTTAACTGCAAATTAGCATATTCGATCCCGAATACGTTAAAGAACTTTATAACAAAGGAAAAAAGATTAATTAGTATTGTTGTCGATTACAAATGTGGTTTACAAGATTTCATGCTATGATTGTGAAGCTATATACGTGGGCCAGACAAAGAGAAGACTAGAAACAAGATTGAAGAAACATATCTCAGATATTAATAAAAAGATAGACTCTTCCCTTCAATTATTACAGAACATCGTGTTAATCATAATAGCCACGGTAGGGTCGCTGCGTGTAGCTTAGCGCCGAGACACTACCAGTGTTTACAGATCATAATTTTAATTGGAAAGACGTAAGAATTTTGGACAAAGAGCCGTCTTACAGTAAAAGATTGATCTCTGAGATGATCCATATAAAGAGACAAAAGGTTAGTTTAAATAGACAAAACGACACAAAGTCTCTACCGAAGTCTTATAAAAATATTCTACAGTCTCTTTCTCCTTCATAATTTCCTCTTTGCTTGTTTCTCGATTTTTCCATTCTCCCTCTTACAATTTCTTCCTCTTTCCAGTTCATCACTACCAGAATATGACGTATTTTAAAGATTATATTTGTCATATAATATTGAAAGTTCATTAGTGACACAAACATAAGAAACTTCAATTTTCTTCGATTTTAAAGTTTGACTAAAAATGGACTCACATATAATATACTTTTGGTTTCTTCGTTTTTAAAGTTTAACCAGAAATCGCATTTTGCTGTATCAATTGTTTAATTTAAAATAAATGGTTGCTTTGTAACTACGGAACTTATATTTTACTGGATTTGAGGTAGATATGCACTTTTTTTATCTCATATGATTACTTATGAACAGGGTTAATTATTTAATATAACAAGAGAATTTGAGTGAATATATTTATCAATTATTCACCAATTAATTAATATTTGTTTTATTAATTGTTAGATGAACGGAGTGCATCTTTCTACAATTTCATTACTTCTCGAATTACACAATAATATATATTACACTGAATGGACTAAACTAAGTGATTCTGAAGAAATAATGTTACACATACATGCGGAATTTGAGAGTTGATGGCCTGGCTTACGTAATTATATTTTGCGATTTATAGAATTTAAATACTAATATTGAATATGTTTAATAATTTGGTTTACACAACAATGATGTACGATTTATAGATTTTAAATACTAGCACTGATGATGACCCGATAAAGAGATCGGAAAACGTTTGTTTAAATAAACAGATATTTAATAAGTTGTTTATTAGCTCGTAGCCCTTATAGTATAATACTTCCTTTATTAATTTTTTATTTATTACAAAGTCATTTGATAGTACATCCTATTATTCTATTAAACTTTGTGTGTTTATATTCTATATAGGGTGTCATTAAGGGATTATGCCTACCTGTAAACTTCAAAAAAATCGATTTTTGGATTTTGATATTTTCTTAAAATATATACTTTCAAAAATATTCCCTGTAAATTTCGAGTCGATTCGACAAAAATTGACGAAGTTATGTGAGTTTAAAGGTACCAGGTATGTAAATATGAAACCGGAATTTATCAATAGATGGCCATAGCTGTCAATGTAGTTGCCGTCAGACCGCGTCATTGACGCCATTTCCTTGTTCTGACATCTGACAAAGATTTTCAACTCACAACAATACAAGTTTCATACAACAGTATAGTTTGTAATAGCATTGAACATGTCGAATTTTGTGCCTGGAAACTACGATTTGCGGACAGCATTGATTTTCTGTTACCATTTGAAGAAAACTGCTGCAGAATCGCATCGAATGCTTATCGAAGCTTACGGTGAGCATGCTCTTGGTAAATCACAGTGCTTTGAGTGGTTTAAAAAATTCACAAGTGGCGATTTTGACGTGAGAAACGAAGAACGTGGAAAACCACCGAAAAAGTTTGAAGACAGCGAATTGCAAGCATTGTTGGATGAGGATGACGTTCAAACTCAACAACAACTCGCGGATCAATTGAATGTGACACGAGAAGCCGTCTCCATACGTTTGAAATCCATGGGAAAGATCCAGAAGATGGGAAAATGGATTCCACATGAACTGAATGAAAGACAGCAGGAAAACCGAAAAACCACTTGCGAAATGCTGCTCGCCAGGTACAAAAGAAAGTCATTTCTCCATCGAATTGTGACTGGCGACGAAAAGTCGATATATTTTGAGAATCCTATGCGTAAAAGATCATGGATAACTCCAGGCGAATCATCGACATCGACTGCAAGGCCAAATCGCTATGGACGGAAGACAATGCTCTGTGTTTGGTAGGATCAGAAAGGTGTGATCTATTATGAGCTGCTAAAACCTGGCGAAACCGTTAATACTGAACGCTACCGACAACAAATGATCAATTTGAATGAAGCTTTGCGTGAAAAACGACCGGAATATCAAAAAAGGCAACACAAAGTGATTTTGCTTCATGATAATGCACCATCACACACAGCAATACTGGTCAAGGAAACGATTGAGGCGTTTGGTTGGGAAATACTTTCGCATGCGGCTTACTCACCAGACTTGGCTCCGTCCGATTACTACTTATTTGCATTGATGGGATACGCACTTGCTCAGCAGCGCTTCACTTCTTACGAAGATGTACGAAAATGGCTAGATGACTGGTTTGGCTCAAAAGAGCAACAATTTTTTTGGCGTGGCCTCTACAAATTGTCAGACAGGTGGGAAAAATGTATATCTAGCGATGGGCATTTCGAATAAAATATTTTTTATCATTTTCATGCAATAAACGTGTATTTTCTATTAAATTCCGGTTTCATATTTATATACCTGGTATAGTGGTTTAAACGTTTGAAGCAAGTATTTTACGTGAAATTGCGTGAGTATTTTGTTTTAAATTTTGTACAGTCCGAACTATTGGGGGAAAATGTAGGGGATTTGATTCTAGCTGTTAGGGGGATTCTAAGATATGTTTTAGGAGACACCTTTCAAAATCACTTGGCAAACTTCAAACGCATTTTTCTCAAAACCGCAGTTTTAAAATCGGTGACCGAAATATCTCGAGAATCGCTGCATCGATAAAAATGAAATTTGGTAGGCTTCTTTAATACTAAAAAATCTAGTGCCCCGATCGTGGCTTTTTTTCGTTGCGTATTTTTTTTTACTGATAAAAAAACGAGCGAATTTTGGTAAAAGAATCGTACCTTCGAATTTGGACAGCCATTTTGTCGCAAATTAATTTTTCAAAAAAATGAATGATCGGGCACTAGATAATCTTATATATTAATTAAATTTGTCGGGCTTTTTGATTTGAGATAAACCAGCTCAAAGCTAGAGCGGTTACCGCAAAACGCTTCTAGAAAAACTGCTTCTGGGAGATTACTCACATCTTCCTTATTTATCGATATTTTGCAATAAAAAAAATACTGAATTATCCTCGAAATACATATATTTGAAAACATAAACATTCATTTCAAAAGCACTTCAAGTTTTTTTCAAAAAAAAATTTCCAAGGACTAAACTGAGCCGAAACGTCCTCTACCATTTTGCGATTTTCGTAATGGTTAACGAGATATTGTGTGCCTTCCAACAAACGATACAAATGACACGATGTGACAGTAGTAAGTGGGCAGCTATGGGCCGTCAAAACAAACCCCCTCCACTCGACCTCCGGCGCCAGGATGTCGCACTGTGTCGCTTGTTGGAAGGCATAATAATTACTAAAAATTACTAAAAATCGTTTTCAATAATTTTTTACTTAAATATTATACTATCAACTTTACAGAAAAATTGCAATAGACAAAAATCATTAATTTTCTTCTCATAGAATTTTAAGAATTTTTTATCAACTTATTGCATTTTCTTATTTTTACCATATGTGAAAATACGGTGTTAAAAAATTCTGAAAAATTCTGAAAAAGTTCTCAGAACTTTATAAGAAGAAAATAAACAATTTTTATCTTTTGCTGTTTTTCTGTAAAGTTGTTAGTATTTAAGTAAAAAATTATTGAAAATCAATATTCAGCGATTTTTAGTAATTGATATCTCGTTAACTATTGTAAAATAGTAGAGGAGTTTTCGTTTCAGTTTAGTCCTCTCTACTTGCTCAGGATGGGTGATGCCATAATTTAATGATATCCTGTATAATAATTTATTATTAAATAGTTTAATTTAGTATAAATGTTAGTTATTGTCTCCAATTTACTTATTAAATAATTCCTCCTTATTTTATTCCTTCTTCTACTTTTTCGCGGCAATATATGAGCCCCTTAGTTGACAAGTGGCATAAGTCCAAAATTAGGAAAAATGCGTTTATTGTAGAAATAGAAAGTATTAAGAATGGTTGTTTTATTTATCAATTTAATTTACTTTTATTTTATTTTTATATCCATAAAATATAAAAATTAATTTTACATCATAAATAAAGTGACTACAAAAAAAGCTGGAATAGTGACTTAAGTCCAGCTTTTTTTACGGTCACTTTATTTATGATGTAAAATTGATTTTTATTTTTTATGAACATAAAAACAAAATAAAAGTAAATTAAATTAATAGATAAAACAAACATTCTTGATATTTTCTACTTCTATAACAAACTCATTTTTCCTAATTTTGGACTTATGCCACTTATCAATTAAGGGGCTCATATGTACGTACGTTTTCATTTTTATTTTATAATATTCGTACAAAAAAATATAAAGCAGAAGTAAACAGTAAGCCAATCAGCCAATTATAGTAGAAAACATAAAAACGATAATGCAATTAAGCAACAGCAAATCCAAAATGTTGATTTTACTTACTGTTTACATTTTACTGCGTAAGATTTTTTTGTGTCATGTTTTTTATACTTCTGTGTATTGATGAGTAATACTGATTGGCTTGTCTTTATCCTGTTTTATCGACATCTTATTTTTTGTAGAATACACCGACTGGTTTATCCGCTTTGGCATCAGAATCGGAGATTCCCAATTGACCAATCAAATATTGATCAAAGACGAATAATGCATACTTATCCTTGCCATTGCGTTGTTAATTATACTTTACACTTACGAAGTTACTGTTATGATGAACACATTCTAAATTGCATACTATCATCACAAGTTAACAGATGTACAAAACTCTGTTGAGATGTTATCATTTAACTCTTACAATTCGTGTGTAATTAATGATTGTTAGTTGTTTGATCAAATCCAGCTAAACATACTAGATTGAGAAAACTGCAAAGTCGATATCTTCGATAATCCCAGACTGTTAAGATCACTCCCCACCTTCATCTTCCATGCGCTTTCTTATCGTTTTTTATACTTTTTTTTTACCAATCATCTTATTTCATTCTTTGTAACATTAGGAGGGAGATGAAATATGTGAGAGAGACGCAGATTCCATCGTCGTTAATCGTCACAGCAGCTTATTTCCGTCGTCAAATGACGTGACGTCGAATACTCGATCTTCATGTGTCTTTCATGCGTTTTTCTTTAGTGATGAATTTTTATTTCGGCTTGGTTGTGATTTTCGTAATCCTTGATGTGGTTTCCGTCTGGTCCACCGGTAGAAAAAACTTATGATTATAGTTTCAAGTGTTATCATTAGAAATTAACTAATTATTAATTATTATTAATATATTTATTATTTATTAATAATTAATTAATTATTAAATTGTTACTGAGTGAACTCTCAAATTAACCGCGATTTCAATATTTGCGTTATACGCTCGAGTTTTTTCTAGTGCTTCTGTCGTACACTGAAAAAAAATATAGTCAATAATAAATATTTAGTTGAATACATGCCAACTAAATATTTATTAAATATAAAGATATATTTATTTGATACAAGAAATGTTAATTTGATTTAACAATCATTTTTTTTACTAAACAAATATTTATTTACTGTAAGTAAATATTTAGTTGGCAGTATTGTGCTAAATATTTATTAAAATTGACTATATTTTTTTCTCAGTATAGGAACTTGTTAGCAAGAATTCGGGAGTTTAATAATGTTGTCGAATAATTGCCGAATATTGGTCTTCAATAATTTTTTACTCAAATACTATCAACTTTACAGAAAAACAGTAAAAGACAAAAATTATTTTCTTCTCATAGAGCTCTAAGAATTTTTTCGGAAGATAAACGTTTTTTATCAACATTTTAGTACTGCATTTTCTTATATATTGAAAACTATTTTTACCAATATGAGAAAGTACGCTATTAAAAAATTCTGAAAAAATTCTCGGAACTTTATGGAAGAAAATAAACAATATTTGACTCTTGCTGTTTTTCTGTAAAGTTGATAGTATTCGAGTAAAAAATTATTAAAAGCCACAATATTTAGCGATTTTTAATAATTAATATCTTGTTAACTATTGCGAAAATTGCAAAATGATAGAGGACTTTCCGATTCAGTTTAGTCCGTTCTATATACACACAAGCGCTTCGTTAAAACTTATCGGACACCCTGTATATAACACACACATACACGTGTGCGCGCAAACAAACACACACACATTTATACAGATATTTATCTCTATAACTTTGCCTTAATTTATATGCACATATACATTTAGATATATTTTTTTAGATAATGGCACTTCGAAGAAGAAAGTTCAACTGAGTTCCGGCATTGCAACAAATCCTTTTCTCCAAATGTCCAACCTAAATCTTCCCAATATTCAAAACAATGATTTCCTGACAAACTTTCCATCAAATGGTAAGATAATTGGAAACCCATTCTTGTCAAATGCTGTTACAACACAGGCATCCAATAATAACTATAATCCCTTTCCTAATAGTAATGCGAATCCTTTCCTGACAAACTTTCGTAATTCTAATAGAGAAATAAATAATCCAAGGGTTGAGATAGAGCCTCCTAGTTCGCCAAGCCCTGTTTCGCAAACACCTTACACACCACTACCATCCTATCATACATCAACATTTAATACACCAGTATTTAATACATTAACACCGAATAATGATTTTACATTTCATACGCCTACTCCTAAAATTCATCCTCCAACTTCACACGTACCATCCTGGAAGGAACTGTTACCTTCTAAGATCAGTCCAAAAAAAACGATATCAGAACTTAGTAAGTAGAATATGATCGTATATTTTAAGAACATGTAAAACTGAAAAATTTACAAGTTCGAAAATGTAAATGCATAAGAAATTACATAAATACACATTTATAATGTAACGAGTAAAGTGTTTGAATGTGAATTTTCTTACCCTATATACATTCAACATATCTTTATATATTTAATATACACCATAATAATGTTATAATATATATAAAATAAATTTCAGAATGCGAAGAATACGTGGGAGAAATTGCGGGTAAAACCTTGATAACGTCCCTGGCCGGTTCATCGTCGGGCGTACATGAAGTGATTAATAGTTGCGAGAATGTAAATCGCTTGGTGGTTGGTGGTACAGAGGCACATGTCGACGAGTTCCCTCACATGGTTGCACTAGGCAAATACAATTCTGACGAATTTATTCTGATGTGCGGCGGCACGCTGATTTCACATGCCTGGGTGATTTCCGCTGCTCATTGCACTCATGGGACAGAGTAAATCTAATATATAGTATTTCTCTCACTTTAAACAACTCAAGAATTCTAACGAAAAAATAATCTTTTATTTTTCTGCTAGCTATTTTACTGAATACAACGATAAATCCAATACAATCCCAAAATTTGAAAATATTTTTTAAGACAAATACTAAAGTTTAAACTAATACTCTATTCTTATTTACTTTGACTATTTAATAGTGTTTTTTTCGATATACTACACATCTTGAGAAAAAATTATTTTCTTCAAAAATTGCAATCTAAAATGTAACTTACATAAGTGACTGGTATCTTACAATTATTTAAGGATTTGACTAATAAAACTAGTCCTATACACTATATCTTATTGCAGTGGCGGTATAACTGACGCAAGGATTGGCTTCCACAGTTTATCAGACCAAAAAGGCGTCATAACTGTCATTAAAGATATAAAAACTCATCCGGATTACAGACCACCTGCGATGTATGCGGATATAGCTCTGGTACAGCTCATGACCGTTGTTACATTTAGTAAATCTATACGACCCGCTTGTCTTTATCAATTATTTGATACCATGCCTAGACAGGCTTGGGTGAGCGGCTGGGGTGTTACCAAATATAGTAAGTAGTTTAGTAGTTCCTCACGTGAAAACTTGTTACGAAATCCTAAAATCATAAGAAAAAAATCATAAAGCTAAATGTTTTTGAAAATCTAAATGTTCAAAAACATTATATTCATTAAGCTTTATATTTATTAAAAACTTACATGTAGCAGGTCATTCCTAATAAATGCAAAGTCCTTCATAAAAAAAGATCAAAAAATTTTATAACCAATAATAAGATTTTATTCAGACCGACAAGAATTAAACACTAAGTATAAGCATATTCAGGCCTATGACGGTCAAAGCTAGATCTTTTTTTGCCTAAATAATTTCCAGTGAATTATCTATATCCTATATACGTACATGCATATATATCATATTTTTGTAGTTATTCAAACTGCGCGCTAAAATTTTTCCGGACTTTATCTAACGCAATTAAACTACTGCAATAATATCACAAGTTAAATTAAATTGACAATGTGCTAAAAACCTTAAATAAATTTATTGCGAAAAATATTACCTCGGCCGGGACTTGAATCCGGACCTCTTGTAATCCGTACGAGCGTCCTAAGCGATTAGACCATCAAGACCTTAGTAATATTCTTCGCAATAATCAGTATATGTAAGACCAATAACACTTATTGCAGACAGCGTGTATAACCAATATAATAAGATTTTATTCGGACCGACAAGAATTAAACACTAAGTATAAGCATATTCAGGTCTATGACGTTCAAAGCTAAATCTTTTCTGGCCTAAATAATTCCCAGTGAATTATCTATATCCTATATATGTACATGCATATATATCATATTTTTGTAGTTATTCAAATTTTATAAGGTAGGAGTACTGATTCAAATTAAATTATGTACTTTAGGCGGAGAGGTGAGCGATCGATTACAAAAGGCTAAGCTGGATGTGGTAGATAATCTGCCATGTACAATACAGCATAACAGTTCCACAGAAGTTCCGTACGGTATCACACCAAGTATGATTTGTGCTGGTGATCCTAGCGGTAACTGGACCAAGGACACTTGCCAAGGAGATTCTGGTGGTCCTCTTCAAATAGTTCATCCTAAGAGTGAATGCCTCTTCCAACTGATTGGTATTACTAGTTTTGGTATAGCCTGCGCAATGATTGATATTCCCGGTGTTTATACTAGAGTGTCCCATTATCTTTCGTGGATCGAAGGTATAGTCTGGCCACAAGGACAATAATCACAATTTATTCGACTTTTACGAAAGGTACAAAAAACATATTTTATTAAATAGTACTTGGTTAAATTAAGTCTTACATAAATAGTTATCAATTAGTTTTCAAACAATTCAAATTATTAAAGACAAAATATTGTAACATTCGCAAATGTTTCTACTTATTGTTTTGTAACGTAATATACTTTTACCATGTAAAAATAATTTCGCAATTTCAGAAAAGTCTACTTGCTTTAATTATTACTTTTAGCGAAAGAAATTATGAATACAGTTGACCAGTCTGCAATTCTGACTAGAATATTGAAAAGTAAGAATAGAGAAATCACAAGAAATGGATTTAGAACGCAGCAATGATATTGATCTTCTAAATTGTTAAAAATCAAGAGATTTTGCTATCGTGAATAGTTCGCCATGTAAGACCATCACCATAAGGGCCATGAATTGATGGGAATAAGATATGCCACCAACTTCTGCAACAAGTAATATTAAGATACATTATGAAAATAATATTAGACAAATTTTTGGACAATGAGACTATACAAACACAAAAATAATATTGAACAAAGTATCAACAATTTATATGCTAAACAAAATTTCAAATAGCTATTATAATAAGCTTAATTTCCAATTTCCTTTAAATCAAAATCGTAGTCATTAAAATTGAAAGAACATAAGGATCTCGAATTATGTTATAATTACCATTTAAACATATAAAATTAAATAATGTGTGAGGTTCAGTAAGAACTTTTGTGCAAAGTTTAATATTTTTAGTTAAATTTATTTTTCTGGCAAATTCTGTAAAAGTGATATATTTTATAAATATATGCATTGCATCTGATTTGTTTAGTTAGTCTTTCGTTGATGATTTATATTATTGGTTGTATTTTAATCGGTATGACCGCTACTTAACATTTTAAGTATGTATTTATAAAAGTTCTACCTGCTTTTTGTTCCTAAGAACAATCTCCAGTTCTCCCTCGATCCAAAGTCGTAAGGATTTTGATAGAACTTATTCTGAGTACGATACTTTTTAGATTCCGCATTGTTGATGTGCGCCTCGATACTTGTCTCTCCTCGGGTGATGAGACGAGCATGCCACCAGGCTAGAGCACCCAACGCTGTACATGTGGCTATACAGATCAGACCCGTAAAAATTATCAATCTTTTTTGCCATTCTTTGGCCTCAGTTTCTGCCGCCTGTCTTACTATTTCTGCTAGCTCCTCCTTGCTTAGATGATCTAATGATTCCGTCTGTATCAATCAAGCATATATTTAAGATTTGGATTAAAGTGATAGTTAATAAAATGTATTTATGTGCAATTAATTAATGTACCATTGGAATTATTTCCGAATTATTAAGGCGTACTGGATGGCCATCTAATTCCGGTTCCTGGTCAGGGAAGAACTCCTCATAGGCGAGTTGCACGCCGAATATCATAATGAACATAACGCCAACTACGGTGTAAACCATGTATAGGAAGAAATGCCGATGATTATAGTGGCCAACACAATTGTTTAACCATGCTGTGTATTGATTAAGGAAGACTTATTACAGGATGTTGCAAAAAACGACCATATAAATTTTCATTGACAATATATACATGATTAATCTATGATGAATATAATTAATTGATGAAAATTGGCTATATGTATAAAATTAATTAATAAAATATATAAGGATACGACAATGATGATCCATTTTGAGGATACACTTGTTGCAAACAGAACAATGATGTGTTCTGGGTGGCTTTGGTTTGATGCATTTCTTGCAGATGCTTACAGCCTCTGGTATAAGGCCTCCCTGAGGTGGATTTCCTGCTGGCACAGTCACACCCATATAATAATGAAAGCAGACATTAACCAGCAGCCAGTTTCCAACTAGCAATAAGATTATCGTCATTAATGGACTCCGTTCCCACCACCAGGGTAGACCTATATAGTAGGCAATGTATACAATACTGATGGTCAGCAGGATCACCATTGCTACAAACACCTATGGACTGCAGCACTTAGTAAATATATTGTGGATATCTTGAAGTTTGCATTATACATATAAGTAGAACAAAGTATCATGGAACATTTTATGAAACTTCATGTCTTACAAATATCAAAATTCTAGTATAGATTTTTTTAACTCAACTGAATTAATTACATGAAGCTTATTATTAGGCATAAAAAACGCAATAATCTTAAACAAAATCTTTTATGTTAAATGAAAGCTAATATATGAGATTTTGTAATTCAATACAAGGACAAGTAATATAAAAAATCTTACCGGACCCAAAAAAGAAGTGAAGTTCTCGACAAACCAGAACATGGGTTCCATAAGTATATCACAAACATAACTCCAACTCAAAAAGTCATTGTAGAACAAAGATTTGATAGAAATTTGAAGTCGCCACCATTTCTGTTTTAAACTATTCCTTAAAACAAGTCAAATTTGATCGTCACACTTATTAAATCCATATAAATTTATGATATAAAGAATTAATAAATGGATTAAAATTCAACAATTTTTTTTTAATGCAACTATAAACATAAACAGTAGCAAAAGTAGGAATGAAATAACTCGGTGATAGAAAATAAAAATTAATAGATGTCTGAACTAAATATTTAGTTCAACAAATACAAATATTTATGAATTTACCGAAGAATACTTGGTGTCTTCGTCAAAGACCATTGTATTTTTGCCATTTTCGTTTCTGTCCTCGAGTCCACTCAAATGTTCTCATAATCCTGGCATGTTAAAGTCATATCTTGCGAACACGCGTTCGCTCATCGTCACGTTATACTTTGTACATCTTGATAAGACATTTGATAAGGTACTATAATCGATAATTGCTATTGCAGCAAGAAATAATAACCTCAATCGACCTGCAAGTACAATCTCGTCCGCCATATTTCGAGGAAAGAATTTCGTGTAGGATCAGTAGAGTGTAGAGAGTACTGAAACTACTGGTACTAGTATTAAGATAGAAATGTATTATTAAAGAAAACACATATACAGTGTTATAAATATAATGTTTATTATATACATTCGAAAATTTAATTTTTGTAAATATAAAATCGTGTTATTTGTGTCAGAAAGTAGAAAAAATAAGTTTATATTTTCCCGCCATTTTACAAGCGGTATTTTCAAACTCAAAAATAATCAAAAACAAATGTGAGAAATTATTCATCGTGAAATTATATATACATATACGTATAACACACACACACACACACACACACACACACACACACACACACACACACACACACACACACACATAAATGCAATGTTTATTGGTATATGTATATTTCTATTCTATATTTTTAAAAATTAATTAAGATATAAAAATTTGTTTAATAGTCATCTGTTTAATACAAATTTAAAGTAGAATATTGAATTCCCCTCAAGTTTTTATTATAAATATAAATAGATATATGTTCTTGAATTATACTTTTCCTGATGTTATATTATATATTAACAAAATTACCTTTTTAAAAAAAGGTAAAAAAAAAGGCGCCAAGTGTGCATGTACCTTCCATAAAAAACTGTACTTTACATAAACTAAAAAAAAACCGTTACATAAATAATATAATTCAAGTGATAATATTGTTAATTTTTTATTATAAATTACCCCTCAATAGTACGTATGCATGTATTTAAAAAAAAATGAAATCAAATCTTTAAATTACGCCAATTGCAAAAAGAATATATAATTTCTTGCAACATATAACATATACTATTGTATTTTGTAAATTGCGAAAAGAACATATATTTTATTGCAACATATAATATTTAATTAACGAGACAAAATGATACGTACCTTTATCTTTCTATTCAAGAGTCTTTTATATTTGCAATGGAATACAACATTTGATCTCAAAAAATTAAAGACGAAGCATCACAAAATGAGAAAATTTTATATTAAAATAAAATTTTTTATGTAAAAAAACTTGGCGCGCTGCTAGACCTCAAAATATAATAAGTAAATGTTACATAAAAGAAATAAACAATGTTTACTGTTTAATTAACATTAATCAAACATAAAATTACAATCACAATTACAATTAAGATTATAATTAATTTTAAATCTACTTTTATATTTAACTTAAACAGCATGTCTTACAAACCTGAAACCATTATTCTAGTCTTATACGCTTTTACCATATAAATACTTATTCTGTATTAAATCTAAGTCGCATACCGGTCTAAATCTGGTCGCACATATGAACACGTATATTATTAATTCTCTCTTAAATCTCTTTATTACTTTTCATATTTGGTATTTTTAATTATTTGCTCGTACACACGCACGCACGCACGCACGCACGCACGCACTGTATATTGTTAGTCCACCTCATTTTCTTTCTTAAATCTCTTCATTATTTTTTTTATTCGATATTATTTGACGATCATCTTATTATATTTTGAGGTCTAGCAACGTGCCAAGTTTTTTTACATAAAAAATTTTATTTTAATAAAATTTTCTCATTTTGTGATGCTTCGTTTTTAATTTTTTGAAATTAAATGTTGTATTCCATTGCAAATATAAAAGACTCTTGAATAGAAAGATAAAGGTACGTATAATTTTGTCTCGTTAATTAAATGTTATATGTTGCAATAAAATATATGTTCTTTTCGCAATTTACAAAATATAATAGTATATGTTATATATTGCAAGAAATTATATATTCTTTTTGCAATTGGCGTAATTTAAAGATTTGATTTCATTTTTTTTTTAATACATGCATGCGTACTACTGAGGGGTAATTTATAATAAAAAAATTAACAATATTACCACTTGAATTATATTATTAATGGATGGTATTCATAGTCGATTCTTATTTCAAGACCGTCTTAGGCGTCGTCTACAATACACGGAGTAAGAAGTAAGAGTAAGAAATTGACC